TCCATGAATTGCTCCATTCTCTCTGCCTCTACTTGGTACAATATCAATTTTAAGATAAGAAACTGGAATCTGGGAGAGTAAGGTGGAATGTGAGTAGGTAATTCTTTTATTTGCATGCCTGACTTACACATATGCTTAAGCAGTGTTGTAGTTTGAATAAGTAGTAGAAGCAATGCTATGTATTTGAGTTATTTTGAGATATTTAAAACATTGTGTCTCTTTCAACATTGGCTATGTTTTTTTTTTATTTTCTTCCCACTCTGAACATAAAACAGGTGCACCAGCAATAGTTGGCACAAAGTGAAAAAGTTTTTGCATTGAAGACTGATCATTTCTGTAGTTCCCTTTATCTTAGTCATCAGTGTTGATTCAGAGATATTAAGTATAGTAATAACTTGAAGCCAAATTAGTCAAGATTTGGCCAGCACTAACCAGGGTTTACTTTAACTGTGGGAGGAACTTGCAAAAGGCAATATTGATTATATCTGGGATATGCCAATTATAATGTGACATTCTGATTTCTGCTTTTTGTTTAACTTAGAAACAGATTCTGCTTTGCTCTGTTTGTGAAAGACAACTGGATGAGTGAAGATTACTACTTGCAATAAGACTAGCAATTTATTTGAAATTAAAGACAGAGAAAACAGTATCTACTTTTTGCTCATAAAGAGAGAAAACCAGGGGTGACACGAGATGAAATTTAAAACATTTAATTATGTACTTGGAAGGTCTTAAATGTGATTTATAGAGTGATGAAAAAAAGTAAAGAAATTATGTCACTATGAAAAAATAATTGGCTACTGAAAGGATACAAGGTGTGTTGATATATGTAAAATGTATATTTTTTTGAGAAATAAGTCACCACTCTGTGATCAATACAATCCATAACCCAGAGATTATATTTTGAGACAATTGCACTTTAAAACGGGACTCTTTCTCTCTTCACTTTGGCTGAGGCATGAAGATGTTGGGGGCTATACTGAAGAATGAATTAGGAAAGTGACCCCTTAACCAAGAACCAGAGAGATGACTGAAATCCAGGTTGAAGAACAAGAAAGCAGGATTTGGTGAGGAAAGTTTTCAGAGAGGCCTCTAAATGCTGTGGGTATCACCCTCCTCAAGTCAGTGATTGGAATCTTGTGAACAGTTCAACTTAGAGAACTAGATGTGTGTTCCTTATAACTTGGAACAGAGTGGACCAATATCTGATCCACACTTGAGTAAAGTCAAACCATTCTTTAAAGGAAAAGAATTGCATCTGGAACGTTTCTGTATGTCCCTCAGTTGGGGGCCAAAGCAGTATGAATTGTAGCCATGTAGAAAATTCAGTAGGAACATTAGCCTGAAGTCTTTTAAACATGGGACTCGGCAAAAGAAGAAAGTATATCAGGGTGGAGGGACCAGAGTAAGAGGCTGAGGCGTATGTCACTGCGGTTAGAAGCCACAGAAAGATTATGGGCAGCCAGCCAGAGGTAAGGCACGCCTTGGACAAGGGAATTGCATTTGCAGATGCCCAGCATGAAATCTCGGAAGAAGCTGTAAAAGCACCCATGATCAACAAACGACAAGAGCTGGAGAGGATGTGGAGAAAAGGGAGCACTCGTGCACTGCTGTTGGGAATGCAGACTGGTGCAGCCACTATGGAAGACAGTATAGAGTTTCCTCAAAAAGTTAAAAATGGAACTCCCATTTGACCCAGTGATCCCACTTCTAGGAATATATCCCAAGAAACCAGAAGCACCAATCAGAAAGGATATGTGCATCCCTATGTTCATAGCAGCATAATTCACCATAGCTAAGATCTGGAAACAGCCTAAGTGCCCATCAGCAGATGAATGGATTAGAAAACTGTGGTACATCTACAGTACAATGGAATACTATGCTGCTGTAAAAAAGAAGGAATTCTTACCATTTGCAACAGCATGGATGGATCTGGAGAGCATTATGCTAAGTGAAATATGCCAGTCAATGAAAAAAAAAATACCACATGATCTCACTCATTTATGGATAGTAAAGACCATTATAAACTGATGAACAAAAATAGATACAGAGGCAGAGTAGCATCAAACAGACTGTCAAACTACAGCTGGAAGGCTGGGAAGGGTTGGGAGGCGGAAGGGGGTCAGGTAAGAGATCAACTGAAGAACTGTATGCTTGCATATAAGGATAAACAATGGACATAAGACACTGGGGGTAGGGGAGGCCAGGGGATTGTCAAGGGGGGGGGGGAAGGAGACATATGTAATACTCTTTGTAATACTTTAAGCAATAAAACAAAATTAAAAAAAAAGAGAATCGAACCAGGACCTCCTGGTTCATAGGTCAGTGTTCAACCACTGAGCCACACCAGCCAGGCAAGGTGAAGACAAAGTTTTGGTGTGGAAAAAGGCATTGCTTGAAAAAATTAATCATTTGTTTTATAAAATAGGTTAACTGGGGAAGAGACTAGAAACAGTGAGACCATTTACAGGTTATTGTAATAGCTAAATCATGAAGATGCTAAACTTGGAAGGTAAAAACTGTGAGACTGGAAAGAAAGGGATGAAATATAATGAGTAAAGAATTAACAGGATTAAAAAAATTGCATTTACAAACATTACACATTGAAAAGTCTCTAGACCAGCTGTATTCAATGAATTTTCTGTGCTGTTGGGAAGTGTTCTTTACACTGTATAATATACTAGCCATTTAGCCACACGTGATACATGGCTAGTGAGCCTGAGGAATTTAAAAATTTATTTGATGTTAATTATTTTAAATTTAAATAGTTCCATGTGGTTAATGGTTACATTATGAGACAGTGCAGCATCTCTTCCACAATGAATTGCAACATCAGCACCTAGTTGATAATTGGATATTTTGAGCACTGCATTGGCAGCATGGCTCCTAGTCAGTGATTTGAGTTTGGCACTGTAGCTCACTTTGGCAATTAGTGCAAGGATTTGAATATTTTATTACATTTTTTCTCTGACTGCTTTATGGAAATGGAAAAGTAAAAATGCTATTACTAGTCTTAATAAACGTGGGTTTCATAAATTAGGTACAATTAAGGCATAAGTGGAAATCATTAAATGTCCTGAAAGTGGTAAAACTTCTGTCTCAACTTAACCTGTGAAGTCAGTTGTGGAGAAAATATAGATAAAGACCATATGTAAGAATGAGAATATATTGCAAAGTGTAATTCTGGACTTTAATAATAATTATTTAATAATGATAATAATAATTTTACAATCTCTATATATAAAAGCCTAAGTGCCTGGCCGACTGGTTAACCAGCCAGTAGCTATGACGTGCACTGACCACCAGGGGGCAGATGCTCAACACAGGAGCTGCTGAGCTGCGGTTATTTGGCAGCAGCGGTCGTGGGTAATGCACCCAGAACCAGAGAGGAGGGAGCCCGATTCTGGGGTGCGTCACCTGAGAACCACCCTCTTGCAATCTGGGACCCCTCAGGGGATGTTGGAGAGTTGGTTTTGGTCCAATCCCTGCAGGCTAGGCTGAGGGACCCCATGGGTGCACGAATCTGTGCCCCGGGCCTCTAGTAATAATAATAATTATTATCACTGCGATCATCATTATTATTTATCAACAACTCTTATAGATATGATGATATGGAACATTATACTTTTTTTCACGTCCCATTTCTCTTTATAATTTCAACAATGTATTGTATATGAATGCAGGCATTTCTTCTATATGTTGCTTCTCACAGTATTGAAAGTGAATACTATCTTCATTTTGTTAATGAAGAAAATGTGATTTCTTTTTACAGTTACACATCTAGTATATCACAGAATTAGAATTTGAATAAATCTAGCTGATTCCCAAATTTCCATTTTTGGAAGTAGATAAACATGGGACAAAAAAAATCCTCAAACTATAACATGCAGTTGTCCACGTTTTAACATTTTAATTTTGGTTTTATAGATCAGGTCTATTCTCTCACCAGATTTGTATGGTTAGAGATTTGATTAATTACACAAGCACAATGTATTATCATATTACTACTAGTAAACTAGAGGCCTGATGCACAAAAATTCGTGCAAGAGTAGGCCTTCCTTCCCCTGGCTGCCGGCACCGGCTTCCCTCCAGCACCCGGGACTCGGGCAGCTTCTCTCCAGCTGCCGGCAGGTACCTGGGACCCGGGCGGCTTCCCTCTGGCCACAGGCAGGCACCCAGGATCTTGGTGGCTTTGCTCCAGCCCCGGCTTCGTCCAGAAAGATGTCTGGAATGACATCGGATCTAATTAGCATATTATCCCTTTATTATTATAGATAACATTTAGTGTTTATTAATGAAGTGAAAATTTCTTGATACAACAAATATAAACATGTAATATAATAGAAAGATATCATCTATAAGAAAGTCTACACTTGACAGTGACAATTACTGTTCCCTACTTTTTTCCTGAGACTAAAATAATCCTGCTCTTTAAGTTCATGAAAGGAAGTACAAGAATGATTGTTCTTTGGTTCTAGTTCCAAGTTGCCACAAAACTGCTTGTAAACCCTTCCCAAACAATAAGCAGGGATCTTGCGTTGGTTACTCATACTTCTGAAAGTCAGCCAATACCTATATTCCCATTTCTAAAGTTCAGCCAATCCCTACACTCCACGCTCCCGCCAAACCCAATTCAAGATCAGGATTTTTCTTTGTTCAAGAAACTTGTGCCCTTTTTTTTGCTTTGTATGAAAGACTGTGTTTTGCTCTTTCCTAGCCTGCAATAAATTCATCTCTGTTTTAAATATAGTTGAGTGGTGGTCTTTTCCCTCAATATCTTTTTCCTGTTTTATTAGGTGGGTGATACCCATCTACTATCTATAACTAGCTATTTCTTTGGGGACTAATGACCAAGAGGTTATCTGAAAACCTGCTAAAAATGTCTGGAGATGCTTCAAAGAACATATTGAAAGATGTATGGAGTGACTGATTACAACTAAATCTTACAAAATTATAAATATTACATGTCTGCCCTTCCTCTGTCTCTTCTGTCTCTTAAGGTTCCTCCAGTGCTCACGGAGAATGGGTGAACTTACCTGGTACACAAGATCCAAGAGAATCGTGAGTCTTTTCCTGACCTCAAAAAAGAATGTGTTAAAAATATGATTTCTTTTATTATATAAAATCCACTATTGATTTAACACTCAATTTCAGAGGGTCATATAATTGATCTCTTGTAACTTATGATGCAGAATATTCTTCTGCCATTGTAATTCCTAATGAGGGATTCTGGGATGTCATTCCAGCCCTTTCCCCTACAGCACTGCCGCTGCTGGATGGCAGTGCTCAGTCATGAACAGTGGTCTGTTCTCACAGGCTGTAGAATTCCTGGGCCTGCAGAACTAGGACTAGCAATCTGACAATATCTGGCACACTATAATACCATAAAATATGCCCAAATCAAAATCTCCGGTTAAAATTTGTCTTAAGAGTAAGGGAATAAAATTGCTAATAGGATTCCTATAAGGGACCAGAAAGGGACAAGTGACATATAAGGGTAGAATCCTGGTTGGGGAAACTCCTTCAATTGTGTCTCCCCCTGAAATGGAATCTCAATATATTTCATCATTTGTGAGTAGGTAATGATTACTTCAATAGGAACAAGTTTTATCACATACATAGCAAGAGATAGGTAAAATAAGCTGGATATTCATATGGTGTGCTGAAGTCCTCAGGCATTGACTCACCAGAGCCAATTTTTATATTTTTAGGAATTTTCATAGCTGACTAATATTGCATTGGTAGCTTGAACTCTGCCATGGTGGGAGTAATTTTACCAGGAACATTGACAAACACTACAAATCAAGGCTCCCTCTCACTGCCCTGCCCCTTGTGTTCTGTCTAGTTATAGTTACCTTTGTCTGAAGATTTTGACACCAATTTATCTCTAGGAGCCACACGGACCTCATAATGGAAAGACGATATTCTTATTTCTTTGTGGAAAAGAGGTAACAGTGGACAGGGATGTTTCCTGACTAAATTGAAATGGAGTTATTTACAAATTCTAAAATGAGGTTGATCTAGTTTGCTTTTTCTTTCCTTTTTGTGTCTACATGGAGAAACTATAGATTCATTGGTACCAGAGGTAAAGGTCTGTTGTCCATAGTGGCTACACCATTTTACATTCCAATTGACAGTGTACAGGGCTTAAATTACTTTAACAGCCTCTTCAACATTTGTTGTTATTTATTATTTATTTATGATAACAGTCATTCTAGCAGGTATGAGGTGATATATCATTGTGATTTTGATTTGCATTTCTCTGACGATTAGTGATGTTGAGCACCTCTTCATATGCCTGTTGGCCATTTGTATGTCTTCTTTTAAAAATATCTGCTTAGGTCTTTAGCAGTTTTTAATCAGGTGTTTTTTTTTTTTTGGTTATTTACTCTTTATCAGATATATGGTTTGCAAATATTTTTTCCCCCACTCAATAAATTGTCTTTTCTCCTTTGTTGATTATTTCTTTTTCTCTGCAGAAAGCGTTTTAGCTTGGTGCAGTCCCCCACAATTAAAAATAGAACTACCATATGATTCAGCAAGTCCACTTCTGGGTATATATCCAAAATAATTGGAATTAGTATCTCAAAGAGGTATCTACACTTCTAGCTCTTTGCAGCTTTATGCACAATAGCTATGATAAGGAAACTATCCAAATTTCCATTGACAGATTAATGGGTAAAAAATGTAGTATATACACATAATAAAATATTATTCAGTCTTAAAAAAGGAAGGAGACCCCACCATTTGTGACAACATGGATGGACCTGGAAGAAATTATGCTAAGTAAAATAAGTCAGTCACAGAAGGACAAATGCTATGTGATTTCACTTATCTGAGGGATCTAATAGTCAAATATATAGAAGCTGAGAGTAGAATGGTGATTGCCAGGGGAATGGAAAATAGGAAATTCATGTTTAATGGATATAAAGTTCACATTATCCAAGATAGTAAGTACTAGAAATCTGCTGTTCAACATGGTTCTTATAGTTAACTAAAAATTTGCACTTAAAAATTTGTTAAGAGGATAGCTCTCATGTTATGTGTTCTCATCACAAAGAACAAACACCCCCTGCTCCCCAAAAAACCCCCCACTAAAGGGACACAAGGAAAGTTTTGGCAGTCATGGATAGGTTTATTACCTTAATTGTAGTGATAGTATAATGTGTGTAAAAATATGTCTAAAATACATCAAATATGTTTACCTTTTTTGCACATCATATATATGTGTACATATATATATATATATGTGTGTACATATATATATATATATATGTCATTAATTTTTCACTCACTAATGCTGTGAAAAAAAAGTTAAAGTCTAATGACTACATCTTGATCATAGAATCTTGGTAACTTACAAAAATGAGATTCTGGGTCTCTGAGCAAATACTACCTCAAGTAATGGCAAAAAAACCCCCAACACATTTTCAGCGGAGGTGATCTCTTCTTTTGGCAGGCTAATCTCCTAGAAAGGGTTTTCTAGGGCTGTACCAGCATCGTTATCATAAGTAAGCATGTAATGATTGCCTTCTCTGTGTCCTGTGTGATCTCTGGCAACTTTGGAGCTGGATTTAGTCCAGCTAAACAGCAATGAATGAGAAAAATATGTTCCTTTGTACTCTTTGGAAGTGGGTTTATGACATTGTGGTGGGGCTGGCAGGTATATGGAAGGGATTGGCCACACTTTTGAAGATTCATCTCTACAGAAGCATAGTTGGTTGCTGATGAATGTTAAATGACCATTTGGATGAATGGGGTTATATTTTTAAGGCTCTTTACATTTCCATTTTATTTTTTTGCTATACTCCAAGAAATTATTTGAAGTTAGATCTAATTTCCCCTTTTAGTTTTTCTTATTAATATATTACATTATTCCCATCTCTGGCTGCACAGTAGAAACACCCAAGTGATTAAAAAAAAAAAACCTGATGCCTGACCCTTATCCTAGAATGATTAGATTTGAGAGCAATTGAGAACCACTGCTTTGGAATATAAATTTTAAAATTATCCAGGTTTTATGTTTTCTGTAATAGAAATTTATAATAGTTTCAAGAAAACGTTAATTTTGTTCCATCATTAAGGAATTAATTAATCTCTAAATCAGTGGTTCTCAACCTTCCTAATGCTGTGACCCTTTAATACAGTTCCTCATGTTGTGGTGACCCCCAACCATAATATTATTTTCGTTGCTACTTCATAACTGTAATTTTGCTATTGTTAATGAATCGTAATGTAAATATCTGATATGCAGGATGTATTTTCATTGCTACAAATTGAACATAATTAAAGCATAGTGATTAATAACAAAAACAATATGTAATTATATATGTGTTTTCCGATGGTTTTAGGCGACCCCTGTGAAAGGGTCGTTCGACCCCCAAAGGGGTCGCGACCCACAGGTTGAGAACCGCTGTTCTAAATGATTGTCTAGCTATCACATTTTCATATAGTTCTCTTACTTTCTTTGTGAGTGCACGAAATATTTTTGATCAGATGACACCTACTAGAGAAGTTGCTCTTTTGTCCAGGACATCAGTTTTATAAGCTGTAAATCTGATAAGCCAGTTGTATGTGCTTTGTTTTCCTTGATATAAAAAATAACCTATTGAGGCATCAGCATATCTGAGGGAAAACATGCTTTTAATATTTAGGTGGTTATTCATTTTGAATAAAAAGCTATCAAACTTGACGTGTCTTTTTAAAAAAAGAAATGAATCCTTGCCCTAACTAGTTTGGCTCAGTGGATAGAGCGTCAGCCTGCAGACTGAAGGGTCCCAAGTTCCATTCCGGTCAAGGGCATGTACCTTGGTTGCAGGCACTTCCCCAGTAGGGGGTGTGTAGGAGGAAGCTGATCGATGTTGATGTTTCTAACTCTCTATCTCTCTCCCTTCCTCTCTGTAAAAAATCAATAAAATATATTTTTTTAAAAAATGAATCCTTGTGAGTAACGAATCTGATTTTGAGAAGAAAGCCAACTAGGCAGGGAGCCTTAAGGAGTTTTCCTCACTGTTATTTATCACAGCAAAGGACCGATGACTCTCATCTGTTGACCTCATAAGAGATACAGCTCTTGGTAAACATGGTTACATTGTTTTTTGGTTTTGTTCTGCTGACTTATGCAGCAATTTGTTGATTTAAAAAAAACCTCAAGACATGAACTCAAATGAATGCCATGTTCTGGTGACTGGTATCTACCAAACTGGAGGCAAATTCACATGAGAAAAGTGCTCGACAAAAATATTTCATCTAAGATATTTTCCAGCTGAGTTGCCTCGCATTCTGTTCCCACCACATTCTCTGAATTGCACGGTGGAAAAGCTGAGACTTTTAACTTATGCTCTGCAAAGTACTGGGAACTTAGGCACAGAAAACCAGGTCATTTTTTTTATTGCTGTCGTTCTGCAAGGGTTTAATTCTTTTTTATATTGCTTATGTAAGAGAAGGACAAAGTTAGGAATGATTTACTTTCTTTCAGAACTGTCAACTACCTCAGTCATATTCCCATGCTTGTTGTTATTGAAAAATTATATAGATCAAATGATCATTGCCTTTGTAGCCCTAATTTGTATTATACATGCTGCAAGTATAACAATATAGGGCGCCTAATATTGTATGTAAGAAAATGTTTATTAATAGCATATGTGCCAATCAATAGAGACCAACGTATTTTAGTGAGAGCACATTGCCTAAATTTGGGCTGTTATCAAATAGTGGTTATTTCATGCCAAGAATGTGTTTGGGTCTCTGTAGTAAACAAAGTTTCTTCCTTAAGTGCTCATTCAAAATTACATATTATTCAGCAGGACTATCCAGGCATAAAGTGAGCATATTACCTGATTCTTCTTTATATTCTGTCTTCCTTTCTAAGTTAGATCACAAACCATTTGGAAAAAATCATGCTTAATCCTATAAACACTTATAGAATAGTAAGTGAAATAGATCCTTACTTATTTATTGGAGAATTTCATTAGGTGATACAAAACCACTTTACTAGAGATTATAGATTATATTGAGGAAATCTGGAGAGTTTGGAAAATAGAAGAGTAGGAGTTCATTCATACAATATTTATTAACCATCAGTTTTATGAAAGGTACCTCTCTCTCTCTGTATCTCTTTCCTCCTAAGGAACTCAGAATCTAGTTGAGTGAATGATATGGATACAAGTAACTATAAGTAAGATACACAGTGAAAAGTGTCAGACTAAGATTTATATTTACTCTTGGTTCTACTCTTAGCTAGTTATGTGACCATAGGCAGAACATGTAGCCTTTCTGGAATTTAGTTTCCACATTTGTAAAATGAGAGTATGAACTACTTTGTGTCCAAGATCCTTTCTAGCCCTTAAATAAACATTAGGAAAAGGGGGCATATTTATATTTGTACATTTTAATCCACTGAAAACATAGTCATTCTTTAGTAAGACATTTTCATTAAAAAACTGATAAAAATTGAGTGCATCAATAATTGTTAGAGGAGGCTGACATGTGAATCAGCTTATATGACTAATCAAGAGAAAATTTCTGCCGGGGTTCTCGTCATTTTCTCTCCTGAAATGACCTTTCCCTGTACTTTCTCCTGGCTATTTCCTCATCTCTCAGGTCTCTCTACAAACAGATCACCTCTTCTGAGAAGCCTTGCATGACTAACCTATGCACAAAAATCTCCCCACCCACATCTCTATCCCACAGCTTGCTTATTTTTTCTCATAACTCTTATTACTACCTACCATTGCAACATATGTATTGGCTTATATTGTTACTTATCTGCTTCTCCCACTAGGATATGAGCTCTATTATGAGATAAATTTGTTTATGTAATTTCATTGGTGTTACACTAGCATCTAGGATAGTGTCTGGTACATTGAAGGCAACTTATCAATATTTATTGACAAAAAGTAAGCTTTCTTATGATGACACCAATTGTGAACAATAGCCTTTTGTCTTT